TCCAATGAAGATAAAGGAGACGAGGCAGGCTACACAGAGGGCTTCATGACAGTCTCCTCCTCAGCCTTCCTTTCTCTCGCAACCCCTGAAGCCACCCAAAAAGCGATTCTTCATTTGAGTCACCGCACCAAAAAAAAAAGCATATTTTCCCCATCCACCCAGAAAGTGATTCTCATCCAAGAGGTATCCAGGAGCTTATCTAAGAATGACAGAAATAAAAGCGCTTCTCACCTGGCAAACCCTGTGAGTTTCTTGCCTCCATTCCTCTCCCTTATTATTACTAATGTGTCTCTACCTGCAAGGAGGAACTTTTTTTTTTTTTTTTTTTAAGAACTTTGACTTGGCTTGAGAACTATGTTTTCAGGGATGGCAAAGACTAACTTGGTATTGTCACAGAAAAACCAGGACCATGTGTAATTGTTGCCTGGCATATTAAGCGTATGACTTTGGAAGTAGACCTCTTGGATTTGAAGCTGAGCTCCACCCCTTACTAGCTGTGTGGCTTCAGACAACCTACTCAGTTTATCAGTGCCTTAGTTTTTTTTCATCTGTGTAATGGTGATAGTAAGAACCCACCTCATAGGTTTGCTGTTAGGATTAAATGACTTAATATATGAAAAGGGCTGGAGCAGTGGGTGGCACATAAGAATAGCTGTGTAAATGTTAGCTGTTATTATTATTATTTAATTGAGATAGAGTCTTGCTCTGTTGCCCAGGCTGGAGTGTAGTGGCAAGTGATCTTCCTGCCTTAGCCTCCTTAGTAGCTTGGATTATAGGTGAGCACAGCTGTGCCTGACTAACGTTTTTAGTTTTAGTAAGGACAAGGTCTCAATTTTGTTGCCTAGGCTGGTCTCAAACTCCTGGCCTCAAGCAATCTTCCTGCCTCAGCCACCCAAAGTGTTGGGATCACAGGTATGAGCCACCACATCTGCCCTATTATTGTTGTTGTTGTTGGGGTGATGGTTAGTCATTTTAACAGCACCACCACCACCGCCACAACCATCAGCACCACTATGTCGCAAAATGCTGTGTATTTGAGGGCCAGGAATTTCACTGTCTCCTGCAAATCACAGGGACAAACATTTTAAGGCAGTGAGAGGGAGGCATTTTTAGCTTTCGCAGATTACAGCCATCACAAAAGTTGCCTGTTTATTTATTTATTTATTTATTTTTTGAGGTGGAGTTTCGCTCTTGTTACCCAGGCTGGAGTGCAATGGCGCGATCTCAGCTCACCGCAACCTCTGCCTCCTGGGTTCAAGCAATTCTCCTGCCTCAGCCTCCCGAGTAGCTGGGACTACAGGCGTGCACCACCATGCCCAGCTAATTTTTTTTTTTTTTTTTGTATTTTTAGTAGTGACGGGGTTTCACCGTGTTGACCAGAATGGTCTCGATCTCTTGACCTTGTGATCCACCTGCCTCGGCCTCCCAAAGTGCTGGGATTACAGGCGTGAGCCACCGCGCCTGGCCTAGTATTTATTGATTGACAAGCTCAGGTCCCCTGGATAAAGAGATGGCAACTAGTTTCTAATGATTATATTAATATCACGTAATTCCATGAATCTGTTTGCTGAATGTATGCAGTCAGTGAATGTGTCAAAGTTTGAAGATGATTACAAATGATTTGTTTCACAGCTTATCTGATTTCTTTATTCTAGTTACACATAATAAAAAACAATTTACTAACATTTGGGTGCTGGCAATGTGCCAGGCACTGATCAAACCTCTTTGCCATAGCTCTGTGGGGTAGGTAGATAGCCATAATAGACCCCTTTTATAGATGAGAAAACTGAGGCCAAGAGACTTTAACTAACTTGCCAACATTAACACATTTAAAAAGTAGCAGAGCTGCCAGGCGCGGTGGCTCACGCCTGTAATCCCAGCACTTTGGGAGGCCGAGGTGGGTGGATCACAAGGTCAAGAGATCGAGACCATCCTGGTCAACATGGTGAAACCCCGTCTCTACTAAAAATACAAAAAATTAGCTGGGCGTGGTGGCGTGTGCCTGTAATCCCAGCTACTCAGGAGGCTGAGGCAGGAGAATTGCCTGAACCCAGGAGGCGGAGGTTGCGGTGAGCCGAGATTGCGCCATTGCACTCCAGCCTGGGTAACAAGAGCGAAACTCCGTCTCAAAAAAAAAAAAAGTAGCAGAGCTTCCTGCCTAACACCCATAGGACTCAGAGCATAGGAAGGGACATTTTTGCCTTGACCTCACATGTAAGACTTTAAATTAAAGCATTTGGCATTCTTTCCACATGGGGTTATACTGACAGTCACAGAAATACAGCAGAGAACTGAAAAAGTCTTTCATACAACTTGGACTCACTGTCTCCAGTACACTGTGTATATGTATATGTATATGTATATGTATATGTATATATATGTATATGTATATATGTATATGTATATATTTATATGTATAATCTGTAATTGTCCTGTGAAGAATATAATTAATGTTAAATTTCATTTTTGTATACATTAAAGTGTCTGGTTATGTAAACATACATATTTAAGACATACCATAAGTTTTATAGCCCTGTTTCCATACTTTATCATTAAGCAATGTACAGAGAGTTGCAACAGTGAAACTGTCCTGGCCATATTTTGACATTGGAAAGCTCCCAGTGCATAGAACCATAGGATTGAGTGGGAAATTTAGAGACTATCTTGCTTAACTTCTTCATTTTGCATGTGATGAAATATGGATGCAGAGATGTTGAGTAACCTCTCCAAAGCCGCACAGCTAAATGCCCTTTTACTGACAGACAGACCCATGTGCTCTGTCTTGTACCCATTGCTGCTGACACTTGGCTCACACCTCCAAGTGAGAGCAAAGAGAGGGGAAGTTGCACATGTGCGCACAGCATCGTGGGAACATGGGAGACTATGAAGTTTTTATCTTGTAAATGCTTTCTAAAGTAATCTTTTTTTTAAATATGTGGGGGGAAATTTTTACATTTCTTTTCTTTTTTTTCTTGAGACTGAGTCTCATTTTGTTACCCAGGCTGGAGTGCAGTGGCATGATCTTGGCTCACTGCAACTTCTGCCTCCCAAGTTCAAGTGATTCTCCTGCCTCAGCCTCCTGAGTAGCTGGGATTACAGGCACCTGCCACCATGCCTGGCTAATTTTTGTATTTTTAGTAGAGATGGGGTTTCACCATATTGGCCAGGCTGATCTTGAACTTCTGACCTTGGCCTCTCAAAGTGCTGGGATTACAGGCATGAGCCACTGCACCTGACCAAGATTAAATTGCTATAGAAGTTTTGACATTTCAAAACTCCTTTGGAGCTAAGAATCACTACTGACCTTTGTGGTTACCCTGGAAGGGAGGGTGTACAGCCATTGCTATTTCTGTTTTTTAAAGAGGGAAACAAGAGTAAAGAAATGTTATATACCTTTTTCAAGGTAATAGCTAGGTAGTGGCAGAGCTCTTACTATATCTTAAGACTCCTGGCTTGGCACATGCATTGAACTATACTGCTTTCCTCTATTCAATGTGTCTTAACAGGAATCGCAGCTGAGAACAGCACAAACATTTTTGTTCTCATGATGCTATTCATAAACCAGTCTCAAACCTCACATATTTTCTCTGAAAGAAACTATTCTTCATGTGATCAGTAAGTTGGTGGAAAAGACAGTTAGATCTTCTAAACAATATTTATGAAGTAAACACTTTCAGGATAGACATTAAGCATTTCCAATCTTCCTAAGGCATTTTTTTTTTTTTTTTTTTTTTTTTAGTGGTGAGGCATATAATATATTTAAATGAAGCTTAGTCTGGAAAACCAGCATATTGCAATAAAAAATGCAAGTCCTTGCAATCTTGTAATTCTTTGTCTAAAGCTTTTTAACAAAAGAGAGTATTTTAATTCAATAAATAAAAGATAGTACTTCCAGCTTTCCTACCAGTGCTGGCCACCACTTGCAGCTAACACACACAGAGAGAAAATACACAAACAAACAGTGTTTGATCCTGCTTTGCTGCAGGGTGTTTTCATCTTTCAAGAGACCAAGGGAAAAACAACCTCAGAACTTTACCACCAAAACTTCCAAATTTATTGCAACACAACGTAATGGCAAAATACTATTTTCTTAGCACACGCAATTTTGAGAACCACCACGGCCAAGAATGCTCAGTTTTATTTTTACAATATATCCAAAGAAAATTTTAAATTCCACTCTTGATTTTGGAATGGCAAAGATGTTGTGGGTTGTTCTGAGCAAACTAACATGTCTAATTATTCAGTCTTATCCTCTCTCTTTAACCTGTGCTTGAGGCGTTTATTTCATGTTTATACTAGCTGGACACAAATCACACTTAAAAGAGATTTCATATCCTGTCTTCCTGTGAAAAGCTGAGCTACAACGGTAGACTTAACAATGCCAGCCCCTTCTTGCGCTTATCAGTAACAGAAGCATTCAGCCTAAGAAAACACTTTAAGTGTAAACAAGACACAGAATTGTACATGTAGCCACATTCCACTGAAATCTGTCTGAATAGAGAGAAGTAGAGATCCACACGAAATAGTTTGTCTTTTAAGTTAGCACCAGTGTGCCCATTTCTCATGCTGCTATGAGATATGAAATATTTACACATCTTTATAAGCAATTAGCTATATTGCTATTATATTCCGTATTATATTTCCAAGCAGTTTTTAAAGAAAGATAATAGAGACTTAAATTACTTTAAGTTCTACACAAATGTCATACTTTTCAACTTATTTTTAACCATAATTAAATAGGCTTAAAGAAACAGTAAAATATCTTGTTATAATAATAATATCAATGCAGTTTATGTATAATTAATAAATATATATGTATATTACTAGTTGTTTACAAGGATGCCAACTACCACCCACTCTCATCTCAACTCTCTTGAAACTGAAATTTGTATAGGTTGCTTACTTGGTCAAGGTTTGTACTGTAGTTTCTTAAAGACAAATACATTTCAATAATAATGAATGGAAAGTAACTATATACACAGCTTAGAAATTGGACATACCTTGTTTGAAGAAAGCAATTTTTTTTTCGAAAATTTTCCACCACACAGAATGAATATCCTTTTTCCCTTAGGCTTTTCTTTATCACAAATCCCATCCAAATTATTCTAAGGAAGAAACAAGAAGAGGTCTGAGAACCTTTTCTCTTCTCAGAGGAGCTAATCAGTCTCATCGACCTCTCGGTACTTTGAAAAACACATTTTACAAACACCCCACACACATACACACACACACACGCTCACACACACTGCTTCTCACCCTGGTTTTAGTGCTGAATTAGGCGGTCCTCTTTCAAATTTCCACTCCCACTTGCTTTTTTTTTTTGGTAAGTATTTCTAAATATTCTTTTGTAGCCGAAAGCACACATTTTCAGTAAGCAAATTCTACAATTTGACATTCTAAAAAGTAGAAAAGGACCACTTAGATAAAAATGGAAAGTAAAAGATATGTTTTAAAAATTATTTCAGCAGGGGCAATTAAGTTTTTTCTTTCTTTTTCAAAAGCTAGTGAACAGCTGGACTGAATAGCACAGAGAAGAAAAACTGTGCAAACACTCCCAAACTTATTCTACTAGACTCTCACTTTTGAATTGAAAATACTTACTTTTTTCCTACATATTAATGCTATTTTTTGTTTTGTTTTGTTTTGCTTCATTCTTTTCTGCGTTTTGGCAGATTTTATGAAATGACTCAATTATATGCTGGTAGTTACAGGATACAAGATAATCACAGTGGGAAGCAAAACCTGACTCCTGTTTCAAAAAAGTACTGATGAATAATCCTACATCACCAGTGAAATCTAAAGAGATTCAGGCTCTTAGATTTGTGTATTAATGTATCACAATATTTTTAAAAAATCAGACTTTAAAAAAAGTACTTCTGGCAGATCTTGAGATTCCAACATACATCAGTGCAGCAGAGCATCTTTTTTCAAGCACAGGAGAAGGCAGCAAAGAGCCATTCCTCCTCCTGCTGGGGAGCGTGTACTCACGCAGCTGGGGAGGAGAACCTTCTTCCATTCAAGAAGCCTCCTGTCCTTATCAGTTGGCCCTGGAATTGCTCCTTGTATAAGATCATGGTTTGACACACCTCGTGCTCTAATGCCAAGTTATACATGGGATGATGGTTGCTGGCCTGTCTTCATTGGCTATATAAAAAGTGGCCAGGAAGATAGGCCATCAGGGTAAGAAGTCTGTGTTAATTAGGAGTAACTTTGACCCAGCTCTCCGGTCTAAAACTCTCAAATGGTACTGTGTGAATCTGTATGAGATAATGGACTCAGCTCTATCTGCTCAATGCTACTGTGCAGAGATGCACCATAATGCATAAGCTTTTTAATGCTGTAAAATATGGTAGCTGAAATTAAATGCCACTTTTTCAGAGGTGAATTAGTGAACAGCTTGATGAAATTCAAAGCTTTTTGATGTATAAAACTTGGTAAGTGGAATGATGCCATCAATAGGGAAAATGTAACAAGCTCTCTAGATGGATAGTATGTAATTTCTGCACAGGTCTCTGTTTAGTAAATACCTCACTGTATATCAGGAATCTTGCTCCGATAAAGGAACATGAAGACTGGGAAAAAAAAAGGTGATGGTTCGAATGTTATTTAATCATTTTTACCCCTACTTCTTTTGGTACCACAATGAAATTATTTCTCAGCCCTTTTTATTCCTCCACTAAATTCTGAGCCCAGGTTCTTTGGTGGTAAGGATGATGCTGCTGAAACATTGGGGATCCCCTGTTCTGCCATTTGAATCAGGGCAGGTTCAGATGAAATGGCAGCTAAGCATAATTAATAATCACATTATTACTAATACTCCTACTAATAATCCTAATTGCTGTTTATCAGATACTTACTTTTACTGAGAACAGCAATCCTGTACATATATCATAACACTTAATATTTAGAAGAGTGTAGAAGGATTAGTAGTAGTATCTCCATTCTACAGATAAGAAAACTGAGGCCCAAAGAGATTAAGCCACTTTTCCAGGGTCATGCAGCCAGTAAGGCAAGATATGAGATTCAAATCCAAGGCTTCCTGACTCCAAAGCAATGGTGCTATATTAAGACTTAAAGCCGTGATGGCTGCACAACATTATGAATGTAATTACTGCTACTCTATTGTGCACTTAAAAGTGGAAAAAATGGCAAATTGTAAAATATTTTTTACCACAGTTAAAAGAGTAAAAAAAAGCCATTCTCTTTTAAAAAAACAATGAAATATCATACTGTTTTCATCATCTTGGTAAAAATTAGAAATCTGAACAAAGATCATGGCAGATATGTGGTGATGATGATGAGCTGTTACTGGTGAAGACAAATGTGGCTATTCTAGAGGAAAATCCAGAAGTACTTGGTTGAATTACCTGTGTACCCCAGGATCCATCCCCTCTCTTTCTGGGGGTGTATTCTTCAGTGAACTTCTCACAGAGGGCCACTAGAATTCCATTGCTGGAGAATTAATGAGTTAAGTATGGGAGAAGCACAGCATGAAGTACTATGAAGATGGTGGAAGCAAAGGCCCAGAGCCCTTGTACGTGCTGTCCTCAAAGTCTTCTCTTGGATATCTGCATGGCTCACATGCTCACCTTCTTAAAATCTAGGCTCAAGTGTCACCTCTTGAGTGAGCCCTTTCCTCACCGTCCTGTTTAAAGTGGCACCCCCATCCCAAGCATTTCCTTTTCCTCTCCCCTATTTAGTTCTTCTCTCGAGTACTTACTGCCCTTTAATAATATTTACTACTTGATTTTTAAATTGAGCATCCCCCTTTAGAAAATAGGGTCCAGGAAGGCAGGAGTTTTTAATTTACTTTGATCAGTGATGCATTCCTAGACCTTGAAGCCAACATGTAATAGGGCATACAATAGGTATTAACTAAAAACTGATTTAAAATACATTAGAATGGTTGCCTATGGGAAAATAGAATGGGAATGAAGAATTGGGATAAAATGAAATGAAAAGTAGTAAGGCAAAAGTCCTGGAGCCTTGCATGGACCATTGATAATGGTTCCAGGAGTAGAATCAACCCTCCAGCCCAGAGGTGTGGCAGCAACAGTACCACTTAACAACAAAATCAGTCAAGGTGGTGACCTTGGGGAAATCTTTTATCTTTTTAAAGTAACACAAGATCACAACTTCCTGGTGAGTGGCCTTGAGCTTGCACTTGGCATAAACTGAACTAGATTATTTCAAGTTGAGAACAAGAATTGTGATGTTCAGTTTTTTCTGCTATTACTACTTGAAATTCTGTTTTGCTTATAAATCACCTATGGTTTCTTGAATGCATCAGTTCTTTCTTAAATAACTGTTTATCACTACATAAACTTAGTATCCCAATCTTGTATTGTATCCAGTACAAAAACTCAAATCTCTTTTAGAACATTCTCTATTAAAAGTTTTTATTATTGTCATAAACATTGAACTTGATGGCTCCTTAATATACTGCCTCATTTTTCTCTTCACTCCAGAGACAGAATGTGGAGAAATCAATGCATTCTTCATCTCACAAATCCATTCTTTTATGTGACTTAAAAATTCAGGGTGGCAATTTAAGAGTCTAAATAATGAGACAGCCTTTTCAGACACTCCTGATATTTTTACTGTGTGCAGATATAAAACACAAGAGTTACATCTTTCATAACAGAAGCTTACTTAAATGTCTAAGGCAACATCATCTTTGATGCTGCATCAATATTTCATAGAAATGTGATTTGCCTTGAACTCTTCTACAACAGTTTTGAGACTGTTTTCTCCCTGCACTTTGGCAGATGCTTACTGCAAGCATCCATCAGTTGCTATTTCAGTTTCCTGGACACTGCTGAATATGACTGCTAAGTATACATGTTTTGTGTAGTTTCAATGTGAATGGGAAATTTGCTGATGTAATTTGCTTTTGTTAAATGTACACTATCACCACCAAAAGAGATTTTGCTAAGCTATGTAAAAAAAGCCTCCAAAACTAGAATGAAGGGCTTCTTAAGAATATGTCAGAAAGGAAAAAAAAAATTATTAGACAGGAGTCATTGATTGCTAGGTAAAAGGTAGACTCTGAGAAGAGCAAATGATGAACCTGTAGAATTTATTTTCTTTAGGTTATTTTTTACAAAAGGATGTTAGAAAGATCCCTACTCACATATGCTTCCCTGAAATAAATGAGCTAGAGCCACCATATCAAGTGTTAGATAACACCGACAATATTCTAGGCCAAACTAACAAAAAATGAATGTGGGTAAGTCATTGTGGTTCTAAGAGTATAAAAGAGATTAAAAGACCTAAAGGATGATACTGGGAACTGGAAGCTATGCTGTAGATCCTACATTATAGAGGGCTGCTGGTCTGGCAGATTAGAAAAATAGAAAAGTGCCTTATACAAAATGAGAGCTCAAAATGGTGGGCAGGAGATTATAGGCCTTATATCTCCCTATTATGCCAAGTAAGCACATGGAGCCTAAAATAAAAGATTGGTTTACAGAACACTGGTCAGCTGGGGCTTTGCTGATCTAAGCTGTGCTGTGCTGTGCTGTGTGGCTCTACTTCCCATTATACATCTATGGGTTGGCTGGGAAACCTCTGCTCTACAAGTGTTTATTTTGTTGTTCATGCTGCTGGGACAGCAGCTATACAGGAGATCTCATGGCAATGGCAAAGTTGCAAGGGGGCAATAGAAAATATGGGAGGTTTCATACGGCCTGCTCTTAGAATTGGCACACTATTATTTCTGGCCCATTTCACTGGCCAAAGTAAGTTCTGTGACTAAGCCCAAAGTCAAGGGGCAGGGAACTAGGCTGCCCATAAAGAAGCTATGATAAGAGTGTGAATGAAGAGGGAATGAAGAATTGGGATGAATAATTCAACTTACCCCACCATCTCTCCCCTTTCAATCTTTCTTTGTCCTTACGTTATAGTTGTATATCTTGTCAATAACATTCAACAGGATTAAAAAAAAATTTTAGTTTGTCAATCTCTATATTTTATTGGGTAAATTTAATCTATTTATATTTATTATGGTTACTGATACAGTGGTTGCATTTATGTATTTGTATTTTTTATTTACTCACTTTATCTTTTTCTTTTTCTGCTTTCTGCTATATTAATGATGTTTTCTATGTTTCTTCCTCTTCATACCTACAATGCTGTTTTTAGAATCTACAGATTGTATTTCTAAACTGTTATCATCTATCCTTTAAATTTTAATATATGCAACTCTAATTTTTTTTTTTTTTTTTTTTTTTATAGACAGAATCTTGCTCTATAGCCCGGGTTGGAGTGCAATGGT